TTAGGTTCACCAGGTATACACTCCGTGACCTTTATTTATGGCTAGAAACCAATTATGAGTGAATACATCCCATGTTCATCTTTTTGGGTCTGGGTTACCTCGCTCAGGATAGTGTTTTCTATTTCCATCCATTTGCATGCAAAATTCGAGAAGTCATTGTTTTTTACCGCAGCATAATACTCTAATGTGTATATATTCCACACTTTCTTCATCCATTCAACCCTGATTGCTCTTTGGGCTGACGAAGGAGGGAGACTTGATTGGGGGAGGGGGAGGGAAAGGGGAGGCGGTGGCGGGGAAGAGACAGAAATCTTTAATAAAAAAAAAAAAAAAAAAAAAAACAAGATTACTACTGTACAGAGAAGCCATGTCTGTGTGTGCCATCTCATTTTCAGGGACTCTCTTGTGGTAGATAAGTTATCTACAGAGAACAGATTTTTTTTCAAAACACTTTTGGGACAGGCTTTTACTCTAGTTCTGGCTGTCCCTGAGCTTACATCAGTCTTTTTCTTTAACCTCTTAATACCAGGATTAAGTGCAAGAGCCTCCATACCTTGCTCAGAATGGTCACTTTTAAAATGAGCTTTCAGAGTAAAGCATGTGATTCAGGCTTGTAATCTAGGCAGTGAAGATATTGAATTCAAGGCCAGCCTGGACTACATAGCAAGACCTTGTCTTCAAAAGTAAAACATAAGTAAATAAAGAAGATAGGAATAATAAAGCGAAATGAATTTTTGGTTGATTTGATCACATTGGCAGCAGGTTCTTGAGTTGGTAGTTTGAACTGAGTGCATTGTAACTGGGTGTTTTCCCATGTGGTAGAGTTGACACTCTTTCTCAAAGGGTCGTGGTTACAAGTGGGGTTTAGACCGTTATGTAAGAGTTGAAATAAATTCATAAGTAGTGCCCAGGATGCAAATTGCTCTGTGAAGTTTTTCTTTTCCTCTGTTTAGCTTTTCTCCTGATCATTATCCATAACAACTTGTAACCAACATTTTAAACAAAAGAAAATATCCATAGTCCATTTTTTGGGAGTGTGGTCATAGTTTTTCAGGCTACTCCCTGCTGATTTGGGGTGCTAATAATCTTATGGGGACCTAAAGAAAATTTAGAATTATGATCAAGTTGTGACTGGAGTATCCTGTGAGGCTTGGTCATTTCAACCAGCAGTCTGACTCCTCTCAACAGTCTTGAGACTGTTCTGGATGTAGGACTCAGACATCTGGGCCATCTGCTCCTATCAGGAGTCATCCTTGATCAAGCCTATAGGCTCCCATTTTGTGTGGAAACAAAAAGCCTCTTCTCCAAAGTAACCTATCTTTTGACTTTTCGGTGAGGCAGCCATATCTTGCTTGCTTTCCTGTGAAGTTTTTTCTCAGCCTCTATGTGCCATGTGAGTGACTTGCTGCCTCTTAGCTTCTGAAAGTGACATACTTGTGAATCAGAATAAGGTTATCTGTGACTTGACTAGTTCTAGTCTCTCTGTTGTGAAACAGACAGTCGTTCTACTAGCTTCCAGAGACGCAAGGCTGGGAGAATAGTTACTCAGTGCAGGCCAAGGTTCAGCTCAAGGCTACCATCCAGGCACAGCCAGAGCACGAGTGTAGGACCTTTCCATGCTCATGCTAGAAATCGCTAAGGCTCAGACACTAGGGCAGAATACTATTTTACAAATACTTAGAATGCAGAATAAGCAACTAATCATGTCAGTACATGTAGCAACCTCTGAAATTCTCCATTTCCCTTTAACAGTCTCTCTAACCCTGCCCATCCTAACTTCCCAGATTCCCTCTCTTCCGTGGAAGATGGTCCTGTTGACCTTTTATTAGTCTCTAGGGACTAATTCTGTGTGTTTAAGAATCTGCATGTGTGTTTCCTTGCAGTGTGCTTATGGAATGGGAGTTACTGGAGCTAAGGTTTTGTTTTTAAATTGTGTAAGGTTGTGTCTTTGTCCATACATACACTCTCCTGTGGAAGTTCCTAAAGCAGAATTCCTGGTTCACAGACAACATGGGTGTATTTAAACATATAATCCGTAGTATTTAGTCCCCTAAAAAGGCTTTACTAGTTTTCACACTTAAAGGGGCTGGAGAGATGGCTCAGAGGTTAAGAGCATTGCCTGCTCTTCCAAAGGTCCTGAGTTCAATTCCCAGCAACCACATGGTGGCTCACAACCATCTGTAATGAGGTCTGGTGCCCTCTCCTGGCCTGCAGACATACAGACAGAATATTGTAAGCATAATAAATAAATAAATATTTTAAAAAAAAAGAGTGCATGGCAGTACTCAGTTCTTGTCCCTGGTGGTTGCTGATGACACATTAATACTTGTTAACACAGTAACCACAAGATACTGAATTAGTCTCATGAAGAAAAATAATGTTTTGAGAAGTAACTTCTGGTTTGTAAATGTGTTAGAACTTCCTTAATACTAATGTAATGGTAGTAGAGAGCTGAAAGTGAGGAGTCGTTAACCACCTTCCTCTGCCGGGAATTGAGACATGCTTTGGTGTGTAATAGTGTAGGGACAGTCAGTAAAGTGGCTTTGGGCACCTGCTCTGAAGAAAGCTCCAGAGGAAGCTCATGAGTGAGGGGAGGGGAACTACAGAGCTACAGGGACAGTGATTTTATAATTTCTTTCTTTCTCTCTCTCTCTCTCTCTCTCTCTCTCTCTCTCTCTCTCTCTCTCTCTCTCTCT